CAGTTCAGCATCGTCAACAACACACAACCTTCTGGATGCATCTTCTGAAGTCAGACCTCAATCATAGACCAGATGTTCTGACGAGCAGCAGCTTAAATAAGTAGGTGTAAGACTCACATTCCACAGCAGTGCTTTTGTTTATAGGCGAAGATTTCATGATATACTTAGCACGCACAGCCCACACAACAGTAATGTTATGTAAGATTAAAAAGGGAGAATAAAGAAAAAATCAAATCCCTATGATCTGCATGGTGCATTTTGTTCTGATCTGAAACTTATGTCACATTCACAGAAATGCTAGAGATGTATTCAATTGATAATCTGATCGCTAAGACCGATTCAACAAGCTTAATTTAAAAATAAGCATATTTAATAGCAATGGGAAGAATATGTAAATGTGGGTTCTTGCTAAGCATGTATGTGTCAGTGAACACGCACACTCCGGTGTAAACTGCTTCTTGATTTGGCCGCTGTCCATAGCTGGGTTCCTCATTCCCTTTGTCCTAAAGTGCTCAGAGTAGCTGCTAGTGACGCATAAATGGAGTTTTAATACCACTAAGAGCATCTGTTTCATACTGTTACAGCACAGAGCTCACTCTTTTACAGCTTAAAACGGGAACTGCTCCGTCTGTCCACTCTGTGCTCCATCCATTCAACAATTTCTATTTTTTTTCCCCTCTCACATGATCTCTTGCTGGGTCAATGCACATGGAGTATACAGATACTGTGGAAGTTTTGTACATTACAAAACTATCTATTAAATAAGCCATATTAAAATAATAATTATTATAGATTTTGTATTTTGACAGTGACGGGAATTGAGGAAGAAATATTTGAGATTCTGCACTTTTTCAAGGTCACTAATCAAGTAAGCGAATTTTTAACGATGATCATGTGAGAATCTTTGTATAGACGGTCAGATGTTCTTGCTTCCATTGAAACATAAGCTGCTCTTTGGATCATCAAAATCATCCTGGATAACATGATCATTAGGTTTTACACAAACTTGTGAAGTTCATGCAACTTGTGTGCTGCAGAGAGTTCACAAAAATCAAACATTTTTTCTTTACCATATGTATTTTTCTTTTTCTTGATTCTGTGGAATGCAATACATATTATTTATAGTAGAAGATCCAAACTTTTTCATGCAGTGAAAGTAAATGGTAACCACAGCCATCAAGCAAGATTTTAAGTGATTATCAACTTATGAAAATTCTGCCATTAATTATTCACCCTCATGTTGTTCCAAATTCTTCATGGTACTCTTGTGAATGTGCATTGAAGACTGACACAGAAGAGAAGAAATTGTTAAATAAAGTTGTTATTTTTGTTTTCTTTGCACACAAAAAAGTATTCTCGTAGCTTTATAATATTACGGTTGAACCACTGATGTCACATGGATTATTTTAACGATGTCCTTACTACCTTTCTGGGCCATAAAACGTGTCAGTTGCATTGCTGTCTATGCAGGGTCTGAAAGCTCTCGGATTTCATCAAAAATATCTTAATTTATGTTCTAAAGAAGAACAAAGGTCTTACGAGTGTGGAACAACATGAAGGTGAGTAATTAATGACAGAATCCCTTTAAATGATGGCCTGTTCTTTCGCAATCATATGGCTTCATGGGACAAAATGTTGCATTAAAATCACATGTACTTGTTTTTATCACATTTTTTGTATACTTCTGACAGTTTGTCAGCCTCTGGTCACCATCCACTTTTACAGTATGGAAAAGAGCTGCAGTAACATTGTTCAAAACATTTCATTTTGTGTTCCACCAAACATGACATACCAAATAAAAGAAATTCTGAAATTCAGTTTTTTTTTACATTTAAGTTGTTATTCTGATAATGTAATTTGTAATAACAATTTGTATAAAATTAGAAAAGATTGGGAACAGGTAAAACTGTTGTATCATATAGATTTTGATTTTGTATTCTAGTGTTTTCTAAATTGTGTTTCTAATCTGTATTCTAGTTAAATATTGTGTTTTTCTTGCTAAGAAGACAAGCTCAGAGCAAAACACAAAATATGCTGATAAGAAGCTTTTAGACAATATTCATGTTTTCATGTAGTCTCATTTTGGCTAATATGTATATTGTAGGAAATTGTAGATTACAAATAAGATTGCAAATGAATGTTTTTAGCAATGTTATCTGTGTATGTGTGGCCTGGGTTAAAATGAGCAGTAATATTAGTATACCTATTAACTATATTGCATTCAAATGCTTTTATTTCCAGCAAATGTCTTAGTGTGCAAATATTTGTATTAACATAAAACACAAACTCAACATGTTTTGCAGGCATTTAACGAACAGAAATGGAAAAATGAGTCCCCGAACAAAAGTGGCAGTGAGTGTCTTGTGTGGTCACCAGCTGTTTTAAACACTGCAGTGCATCTTATCTTGCTGTGAGATGTTACCCCACTCTTCCACTAAGGCACTGGACATCACATCTGGGGGGAAACATGGTTGCATTTTGACACTTTGACACTGCAAGGACTATGGCATGTTCACACAGGTGATCAGGGACCATGGGCATCTTATTTCTTGGGTTTTGAGAGTCAGTAGAAAGGTCTCTTTACTGTCCTAAGTAACTGTGTCCATAATTGCCTACCGACTGTAAACTGTTAAGGACTACTCCACAGTTGCATGTGCAATAATTGCTATGGTTCACTGAAAACGCATGAAAAAAACAAACCCTTTCCAATAAAGACCCTGTTGCTGAGTTATATATGTATGTAGTCATTATTAATCTGAACAATGTGAGAGAACAGAAACAGGAATATGGGTCATGTTGACTTGTGTGTGTTTGAGGGGCTTTGGTTTTGAGTTCATTTGTGTTTACCAGTGGCAGGGACACACTCTCTTTAATATTCTCAAAATCACAACAACCTCAGAGGTAATCCAGAATGACTATATCTTAAATCAAACCCAGTGTAGCAAAGAGATGCAGAAAAGATAAAAGCTCAAAAGGCCATCCCATGATTATGACATCTAGTTGGTAGACTGTAGTTCACTCAGAAACATTAGTCGTCAATTCCAGGATATTCCACATCATAAAGTCACATTTTGTCTTCCCTCTCTCCCTCATTTGTTGGGCAGTTTTTAAAGCCAAAGAGGTTGATGGAGCCCTGGACACGAGTGACATTGGTGGGGGTGGGAGAGCTGGGTGAAGAGGGGAACAATGAGTCTTTCTTCCTAATCCTTTCTGTAACCCATACTATGGGTCCAGCTTCCTCCACCAGCCCCTCGAAAAGAGCCCCCAAACTTTGGCGGATTCGAGTGCAGAAGTTTGGACAGCTAAAAGCGTAGATAATTGGGTTCAATACAGGGTTCAGGAAGGCGAATGTTGTCGCCACAGGTAAGTACACCTCTACAAGCTCCACAATCTCTGTCTTGTACTGAGCCGTCACCTCCAGCAAACAGAAGACGTGGTAGGGCACCCAGCAGAGAATAAAGGTTGTGATCACTGAGACGACCATCTTCATGAAACTTCCCGAGAGCCGAACACTGTTTTCTCTGCCTGATGAAGACAGGATGCGGAAGAATTTCAAGGATCTCAGTTTGCCATTGCTCGCACCCTGCCGTCGACTCTCAAGCCTCTTTCTGCGAGCTCGCAGTTCAAGAAAAATGGAAGTGTAACTGATGGCGATGACAATCAGAGGTACGACAAATGCCAGCAAGACTTTGGACACTGCCGTCGCTGCCTGACGCACCTTACAGTCTCTGTGCAGTGTGTTTGAGGAGGAATAGAGTGCAAAATTGTGATAGCAGAGTTTGCGGCCATCCTTCTTTTCCACAACGGAACGGAACATGAAATACGGAAGTGAGTTTACTGCCGCCCAAGCCCATCCTAGACCGCAGATCTTCCACGCTGCCGACACAGTACGATGGTTCTGAGTCCAAACCGGCTTCGTCACGATCAAACAACGGTCCAATGATATCACAGCCAGTAGGAAGGCAGAAACAAACATGTTGAGGAAAAAAATGGAGGCCTGGGCTGCACACAAAGCGCCACCCAACTCCCAGCTGTGGTTCATCAATAGGTAATGAGTGAAAAGCGGCAAGGTTAGCGTGGTTAGGAAGTCCGACAACGCCAGATTGAGGACCCATACTGCAGCAACTGTCCTGCGACGAAGACGGAAACCAAGCACCCACAGCACCAGTCCATTTTCCAGGACACCCAGAGTGGATACTACACCGTGGACACTCACCACTCCCAAGTTCACGCCAGTGTCTTTGTTTAAGGTGTGAGAGCTCATTGTTTGCAGAAGAGGGCAGTGGAGCTCTGAGGGGAATGATGGGCTGAGGGTGGAATTAGGAGGGAATGACGAAGTCATTGCTGTCAGAAAAAAGAGAAAAAATATTCATATATCGTATTACAGCCTTCTGCAATGAAGCATAGATCTATGAAACCTTTATTATGCGTTTTTTAAAATGTGTGTGTGGGTGTGTGTTTTATCTTGAAGTTGAACATCTTTAGGATCTTCAACCAGGTGTTGTATTGCATACACTCTCAGAAAAAAGGTACAAAAGCTGTCACTGTGATGGTACGTTTTAAAAAGGTATGCCTTTGTACCTAAAAGTTACAAAAGTGTACATTTGGAACCGGTACCGCCCCAGTGTCAGCTTTTGTACCTTTTTCTGAGAGTGTGGGATCTGCCAATTATTGTTTGAACTTTTTGGAAGATTTGTGAAAGAAGTCTCTTATGGTCACCAAGTCCGAATTTATTTGATAAAAAATACAGTAAAACAGTAATACTGTGAAACATTAGTACAGTGGGTATAAAAATTTGGGGCATCACGGTTAAAACGGCAGCTTTTTGAGATTTAAAACTTAAAGTGACCTGTTTGCATAAAAATTCCCTTTATAACAAGACATCTGTTTTGGAATTTGAAAGCAGTGACATTCCAAAGAATAGAGTATCTGTCAAAAATTGATGGAAAAAAATAAAACATATTAGGCTGCCAAGAGACATAACCTAACATTAAAGGAGCTGCATGAATGTGTGGAAAGTAATTGTCACTTGCTGCATGTGACAACAACATCCTTTATTCTCCATGTTTGTGGTGTCGAGTGAAGAGACGGAAGCTATTGTTCACCAAAAAAAAACAAAAAAAAAAAAAACCCTTAGCTTGTCCAGATTTAGCTAAAATCATGTGGCAAAACATTTTATGATTTGAATAAACTACACTGAACTTTTGAACCCATGATGAAGATGGTAGATCATGCAACGGCTGCTTCTCTTCAGCTGGGACTGAGGCAGTAGTCAAGATAGAAGCAATCATGGGAAGTGCCAAATACCAGAACATTTTGCCACAAAACCTGCAGGCATCCATTAAAAATATATAGATAAAGATGAATTTCATCTTTCAGCATGATAATAGCCTTGAACACAAATCTAAGTCAATAAAAGCATCTTCAGACACTTCAGAAGAAGAAAAAAAATAACCTTTTGTAATGGTCCCGTCAGAGCCCAGACCTAAATAAAGATGTGCAAAATTGATATACTCTAATGGCTATTGACTAGCTAAAAGCAAAAGGCGTTTCTATATTAGTATTAATATTAGTATATTAGTATTAGTTGAGGGGTGTGCACACTTGTGCAATCAGGTTATTTCAAGACTTTTATTTTTCATTTTTACCCATTAAACATTTTGTTTATTTGTTATTGGTTTCAGTATTACATTAAATGTGGATCTGACATGATTTTACTTGGATTCCTTTTTTTCTTCTGAAAAAATAGCCATTTTAACAGGGGTTTGTAGACTTTTTATACCCACTGTGCAATTTAAAATAGCTGTTTTAAAATGTAATTTATTGCTGTGTTGCATTCCAATGCTGACAAAACAGAAGATTTCCCAATGCTTTCAAAAAAGAGGAAGAAAGAATGAGAAAGATGTGTAAAAACAAGCAAATAGGAAGCTGTGGTGATTTCACTCAGATGAGCTTTGAAGTTAAGAAAACTCTTATCGACTTAACTGCATTTACAGTAATACTGTAATGAACCGCCTTAGTCTCTTAAGTCTATTAGTCTGTTTGTGCGCTCTCTGCTGTCGCTATTTTGGCTTAGTTTTGTCTGGTGTGAAAAATCACAACACTTTCATCCAAGACCTTCACAACAACATCATCCTGAGGTATGTTAAAAGTTTGTCTCTGTTTAGGCATGTGCATAGATGATCGCATAAGCGTTTTGAGTAACAGCATTTGTCTGCATTTTGTTTGATCTTGTTATCAAAAAAGAGCAGGCAGACCAAGTCTTGCCAAAATGTAGTGAAATCTCAACCGTAGTTTATCATCAAGTTCACACATTCTCTAATCAATCTTACAGTAGTTTACAGTGTCTAAACAAGCATGTTGCTTTATAAATGTGCTCAGATTTAGATTAATTGGTATCACAGTGTGTTAAACAGGAACGTATCTCACAAGTACAGTACATAACAATTGGTGTTTTAGTAGAAATGATGACTGTGCGATGTCTACCGTTCGCTTATCCTGCATCATCCATTCATGTCAAGAGTTGTCAGTTATTCCTCAGGAAAATCTTGGTGTTGATGATATAAACCTACTACAGTTTCATTCAGGAATGGTAATGGATCTCATTTTTCCTTGAAAAAAGTAGCTTACTATTGGGAACAGGAGCATGTCAGTGCCTGCCCCAACAATCTCTCTCCAACAACAACATTTCCTTAGAAACATAGAAAGGGTTGTGGGAAGAGGAAAGGCAGTCTTAGAAGAAAAGTGAGCAATCGGTTTCATTGGAATTATAATGTAATAACGCAGGTGTTTACTCACCTAAGACTTAAGGCGCCTCAGCCTTTGGGCCTTGAAGTTTGTCTGCCTCAATTCTTCTTCTCTTTTATTATGTTGAAGAGATTGGTGAGGATATTCTTAAGTCTCTCTAACTATTTTAGTTGATCAGTATCTTGTTTCTGTAAAATGGGAATTTCAGACACTAGCAGCAGGCATATAAATCTTTTTTGTCCTAAATTTGAAAACAGTAATACTGTAAAATATGATTTTAAATAACTGTATTGTATTTTAATATGGAAGTTCAAAGATTTTAAGATTCCTTGTTCTTTTTACCATAAAAGGCAGTGACAGTATGTTTTTCAGGTTGAATTTTCTGGCTTTTTATTCTGACACTACTGTCATTAGTCCCTCTACTCACACAGCAGCACCTGGATAGATGAAAATGAAACTTACCTTTTATGAAGTTTGTTTATGTGCTCCCACAGAGCATCTTCTGTTGATCTTTAGGTGTCCCTCAGTTTCTTTCTTCTGTGAATTCTTCTTTGCCTCTGCCTTATTTCTTCTCTCTCTTCTCACTCTTATTTTCATTCCTGTGTCTCGTACATCATTTTGTATGTAGTTTTGAAGAGGCGGGGCATATCACAGGTAAAGAACAGTAGAAAGCTGTAGGTGTAAGTGGGATCTTTGTGTTTTTGTGTCACATGACAGTTCAGCTATTCATAATTATTTTTTGTTTCACCTACAGATAACAGCTGTTCAGACTGTTTGCATGTCTTTTAAATGTATGACTAGTGCTGAACAATACATATGAATTGTTTTATTAGATATTTGAGGCCACAGGCCAACCAAATAAATAATTTTGACCCATAAATAAGCACCACAATACCACAATAATCACCACAGTATTTACAACTTCTTAATGTGTGAACATCTCATTACCTACATTGCGCTAACATGATGGTAGTGGCTTCTTTTTTGTCTCTCATCCTTAGATCTTCTCTTTTAAATTCACTGAGAGACATGGTCATATTTGCTGACATATTATCACTGAGTAAGACAATAATGATCGACTTGGTGAAAACTAAGTTAAAAAGAGCTGAGCAGGGCGCGATTCAACAACCATGTAATGTTAAAGACAGGTTGAATTCTGCCACCTTTTGTGAAAGAAATTATTCTTTTGCCAACCTGATTGATAATTGGACCTAAATTGCACCTAAAGGTTTGTTTTTATTTTCAGTTATGTAAGGAACTTCACATATGAAATAATGAAAAAAAAAAAGTGCAACTGGTTCCACAGATTTTTAGCTAGTCATGAGTCATTTGTTCCATGGCTAAAAACTCAGTTTTATTACAGCTCTAGTTTTATAATAACAGATTTGGATGTTATTTCACAGTTGATGTTGGCTATTATAGTTATGATGTATAATTTTGTGTGTGTGTGTGTGTGTGAGATGTAACACAATATTTTAAAGGCAGCCATGTCTTAATAATGTAATTCCTCCATTGTGGTTAATCATTTGCTGAGGTCTGATTGCATGACAACTTCTGAACACTGTGAGATAAGACATTATATATATATATATATATATACCGTATTGGCCCGAATAAAAGACGACCCTGATTATAAGAAGACCCCCCCTTTTTCCAGATGTACCTTTTGGAAAAAGGCTTTTTAAAAACCAAATCTTGTTTTTTCTCAGTAAAACACATTTTGTCTTCAATTATTTTCATATTGCATATTTTTCCTATTTTAATTTTTGTTTTGAAAGTATGGTAAAAACTGGTAAAATGTACCAACTTTGGTCCCATCAGGCTAACGTGACAGTCACGACTCATGCAGCTGTAACGTTTTCATCTTTACAACACGCATTGCATTACGTATTTCATGGCACACCCGTTTTATGCGTATTTGGCGCTACCTATTGTTGTGGGTGTATTATTGACATGTCAAAGTCTAGACCCTGAATATAAGACGACCGCGTTTTTTCAGATGTATTTCCAAGAAAAAAACATCATCTTATATTCGGGTCAATACGGTATATATATACTTGTCATCAGAGACTAACAAGGATCCACAATTAAGGGGAGATACAGGAGGAACAGAAGCAGATTGAAAAGTGGTATAAGGTAAGAATGTCTTATATTATATTATATTTATTATATTACTACATCCACCTATTGTAATGATAGTAATAGTTTTTTGAGCGATAGTGTATGTTTATAATATACTATATATATATGTGTGTGTGTGTGTGTGTGTGTGTGTGTGTGTGTGACCATGGAACACACCCCCAGTAACCCAGTCGCTGGGGTATATTTGTAACAATAGCCAACAATACATTGTATGGGTCAAAATTATTGATTTTTCTTTTATGCCAAAAATCATTAGGATATTAAGTAAAGATCATGTTCCATGAAGATATTTTGTAGATTTCCTACCATAAATATATAAAAACTTAATTTTTGATTAATAATATGCATTGCTAAAGACTTAATTTGGACAACTTTAAAGGCGATTTTCTCAATATTTAGATTTTTTTATTTTTTTTGCACCCTCAGATTCCAGATTTTCAAATAGTTGTATCT